TAAAAAATTTTTTAATTTCTCCCCTCTCCTTTCCCCCCACTTTTTCTCTCCAAGAAAACCCCCCGGGAGGTGACAACCACAAAGGTACATTAGGAGACAGTCTTACCTTATATTTATTCCAGATCCACAGTAAGGCATTCCTAATATTAACTTTAACTTTATCATACCACACACCGGCATGCCACCCGACTCTTAATTCATGACCTTCAAGTTGTAATAATTCTTTATTCTCCAAGGTTATCCACTCCTTCATCCAAAGCAAACAACAAGCAGCAAAATACTGTTTTAAATTAGGCAGACCCAAACCTCCTCGTTCCTTGGCATCTTGTAACAATTTATATTTAATTCTCGGTTTTTTGCCTTGCCAAATGAACTTAAATATATCTCTCTGCCACTGTTTAAATGGTAAGTCTGTAGTCAAAATTGGTATAGTCTGAAAAAGAAACAGCATCCTAGGCAAAATATTCATTTTAATCACAGAGATTCTACCCATGAGAGACAATTGTAATTTTTCCCATCTTACCAAATCTTTTTTCACTTCATTCCAAATTTTACCATAATTATTCTGGAACAACATACTATTTTTAGTTGACAAAATCACCCCCAGATATTTCACCTTTTTTTCTGTCCTGAAGCCCATCTTGCTCATCAGCAACTCTTGATTAGGCAGGGTCATATTTTTAATTAACATTTTTTGTTTTTGTTAGTTTACTTTAAAACCCGCCAGTGTGCCAAATCCCCTCAGTTTCTTCATCAGACGCTCAGCAGATTCCAGAGGATCCTGTAGTATCAGGACTAAGTCATCAACAAAAGCCCTCAGTTTAAAAACCTCTGTTTGATCTTGAAGCACTTTATTTGTTCGTTTCTTCTAATATCTCTGTTAAAGAACCAAGATAAAAAGCAAAGGTGATAATGGGCAACCTTGCCTTGCTCCTTTTTGTATATGACACGGTTCAGTTAATTCTTCATTCACAATAATACTAGCCTTCTGAGGCGTGTAGATTGACTTTATTCCCTGTATAAAATATTCTCCAAAGTCCATACTTTCCAAAACTTTAAACGTAAACATTCAGTTCAAATTATCAAAGGCTTTCTCTGCATCCAAAAAAATAAGAGCCGTCTGACATTCATTATGATACTGTAGATATTCTATAATATCCAGCACAACTCTGACATTATCTCTTAGTTGTCTTTTAGGCAGAAATCCACATTGGTCATGGTGAATAAATTCCTGTGAGATTTTTTTTAACCTTTCTGCCAACACTGAAGCAAATATTTTATCATCATTATTCAACAATGAAATTGGTCTGTAGTTCTTAATTAAGAAAGGGTCCTGTCCTTTTGGTAGAAGCGCAATGTTGGCTTCCTTCCATGAATCAGGCATTGCCGCACCCAGCAAAATAGAGTTCATCAATCTTTAAAAGGTAAAAGAATCTCATCTTCAAAACATTTATAATATATTGCAGGTAATCCATCAGGTCCTGGCGCTTTTCCCAATTCTCTTTATAGCTTCAGCTATTTCAAAATTAGTTATAGGATTATTCAATATTAATTTCTGTGACTGCGAATGTTTTGGTAGATTGTGCTTATTCAAATATTCATCAACCTTTTCCAAAGAGATTTCTTGTTTTTTATATAAATTAGAAAAGTTGTGAAATACTTTTTTAATCTTTTCATTGTCCATAGTCCAGTGAATTTTAGAAATCATTTTCTTCTCTCTCTTTCCTTAATCTGTATGCTAACTATCTTCCTGGTTTATTAGCAAATTCAAAATGTCTCTGTTTAGCATATCTTAATTTCACTTCAATTTCTTTCACAGTCAACATTGAGACTTGTTGGTATAGCAACTTAAGTTGGTAGGCAATATTATCAGACGGTTTTTTCTGTAACTCCTTTTCCTTTAACTTAATCTGATCCAAGACCATTTGTAATTTTTGTTGAGATTTTTTCTTGAGGGTACAGTTATGATAAATGAAATTTCCCCTCATAACCGCTTTACTAGTATCCCACACTGTTTTTAAGTCTACATCTTTATCTAGATTAATCTCAAAAAAGTCCTTTAGTTTCCT